AGCATCCACACAAACATAAAGAACAGGAAAGCATAGTTGTTGATCTGGTGACATGGCTCAGTGCTTGTAAGGGAAACAAGGCTCAAGTTAAGTGAGAGCAGAGGGTTCTGTCACGAACGTGGCATTACTCTATGCTGATCAGTGTGGACATTTAGGGGAAGGCCATTGCTGCACATATACCGTATGTTTTCTACAGATGTACTGACAAAGGAGTATCATTTAAAGAAAAGGTCACAGCTGTAACCAATGGAAAAATGTTATCTGAAGTTATACAACGTATATATGGAGGAATTAGTGGTGCATGGTAATTTTTGTGCCATGCAGGCCTGACTATTCAGTGTTTCCTTTATCTCTTTTAACCTTCAAGAATAAATGTGTTAACTTGACCAAAACAAAGGAGCTAGATTTTACCGCAGTCACCAACCATGTTACAAGACAATTATACAATGCAGCAGGAGGTTAATGGCCAGTACTAAATGAGAGGGCTAGAGTAAAATCAACTTCAAACAGGTAACAACTCAGAGGTCAGGGTATGATCAGAGAATGAGACACTAAACTCATGCCCTTGAAAAGGGGAAGAAAACTGCCATCATCCATCTGTGTACATTTTACTATCGTCCCTTCATCTCTGCTCTCAGTGTCCTTCCCCACTCTTTCATTTTCACTATGATGAGTAGCCCCCTTTAAAATAAATAAATAAATAAACAAAGTAACATTCCTCCCCCATTCCTCGAGGCTGTGCCATCTATGCAGGAAGGTAAACATGTACACTGTGGTGACCATGCGGATGCTTTGCTCCAGGTAATAGCCGTCCTCCACAGCTCTGCGCCCACTAGCAACATCTCAGCATTGAGTAGCAGAGCAGAGTAGCCTATGTCTGAATAGATTCCCACTTCAATGCCAAACCGTCCCTCTTCAAAACAAGGACATCCATGAATTTGATGGGGAGGTTGATTCAAATCAGGGTCAGCAGACTGACCTCTACTTACAGCACCAGGCTGATGGCTTCTGTTTTGTCTGCACAATTTGATTTTTGAAATGCTGACATTGTTGTAAAGACCAGCTATTAAATTGGTTGTAATGCATTTCAAAGGCTTAGTGGGCATTCAGACCAAAAATAATGAGGCATGTTGTCTCATGTATTGGTGAGATGATGAAATATGATTGAGGAGACTCAGTGTAAGTTATAGATCCAAGACTCTGAATTCCTATCAGACAGCAAAACACTGCAGTCAAGATAATTATAATAAATCAGACAATAATAATAACATGTCTTGACAAAGAGATAATCTACCAAGAACATGCACTTTCAGGTATTTGATAAGCCAACACAGTGCTTTGTCAGATTAAATTACATTCACATACTTTCACAACTTTTTGACAGATCCCTCAGCATTCAGGTTGCATCAACACAGTAGCCCTGCACTGCACAAATGGGTGCTATGGTTTTCAATGAGTTTGCACCCACAATCTGCATGTATTCAGCACCTGCTTTACTAACACCAATCTACTGTGCCTGAACATACTGTGCAGAGACTTGAAGTTCACTTGCATTTTGGAAGTACTCAGAGGCAAATAGACTTGAAGTATAAAATGGGTTGTGTTTAATGGCCACATGCAGTGAGTGACTACTGAAATAGGAGCATGACCATTTATAATATTGTCATTCTGATATCCATACTATAAATCTACTATTCTGTACATACGCATACATCCTGTACGGTCTTGGAAGCGGGTTCCCTCCTCTATTGCTCTTCCTGAGGTTTCTTCCATTTTTTTTTTCCTGGCAAAGGGTTTTAAGGGAAGTTTTCTGCTTCAAGGGTCTGACAGACGGTGTCATATTCTATACATATTGTAAAGCCCTTTGTGATGCTGGGCTATATGAATAAAATTTGAGTTGATTGGATTTGTGAATTAAGGCACACGCACACTTAAAGGACTTGACTAAAATAAGTTTGTTTTAGTTGCACCCTCTACTGATTTTATAGTTCTCTGGTGGTCAAATTTCAAGACCAGATCTCCTTGTTCACCATTTATTTTAATTAGTAACCAGGTATTGAGTTGCTTAATGACTTAATTTCCTGATTTGTAATAATTATTTGTAATCACAGATGAGTATACTTTTAATGCATATTTTTTCTATCCACTACAGCCTCCCTTGTACTATGTTTCAGAAGTGGAGAATTCTCCCTGTAAAATGACAGTTGCAAATTGCATGATGTTATCAAATCCACTGGAATGCATACATAACTCACCATCTGTTAGCATGTCTCCCCTTATTATTTGCGTCATCCTTCCGTAGATGAATATGCAATAGTGAGAAACACGTACCTAGCAAACACTCACACAAATGACAGTCTAAAGTGTGACTTCAGCCTGGTGCATCTATGTGATCAACTCAGCACATATTTGGGGCAGAATGCATCAAATCTGCACTTAAAAAAAAAACAGAAGTAAAAGCTGCAGTGTGAGGGTAAGTGGCTCTTAGTTGGTTGCAACACTGGCTCACAACTGGCAAAGCAATGCATGTGCACCGTGTTCATACAATTGTTAAAAAACAAATTCACAAATAATATTCAACTGAGCAAACTTTTGCTTCCAATGTTCACTGTACTTCAACTGCTCTACAACAGTACATCTGTGGAATTGCTTACAGTGAAGAAATGTGCAAAGCACATAAACAGATGACTGGAGACAGCATTTACACTGACAGAACTAATTGCATGACAACTGTGAAATTGAAAATTGGGGTCATCAATTTGGCATACAGTACATTTGTGCTCTTAGAGTCCAGCCTATATGCTGCATAATTCTGTTCCTCTGTAACGTGTAGGCGGACAAGGTGTGGGCCGATGTTCACCATGTTCCTCTCTGCGAGTCAATACTCTTCTTCGTGCTACCAGAGTGATACTATGTATACACTGGCTCTAAAACACACCATAATACCTGTGATCATGTGGATGTGTTTGCATATGTGAAGAAAAGAACATGATATGAATAGGGTGACAGGAAAGAACATTCATATCCAAGATTCGATACATAATAATAACATCATTAAATATTACAGAGAGTTCTTCTTTGACAACATTGTGTCAGTGGCTATAAAGCTACCACCACCCACTGGTTAAACATGTCAGTGTGTCTGCCTTTTTTTTGAAGCTTTTTTTTTTTTTTTTAACAAATTCTCCAGCTAGTGACAGCATGGTTGTTTGAAAAAATGTCACCAGTAACACTCCCCTCAGGGCTGAATCTAGACACTTCTCTGCCTCGAAACACACAGGTAAAAAATAAAACAAATAAAAATTCAACTGTGACCAACAGTGTGGCTCTGAAATGGGACTTTGACTTTGGATGATTTTACTCAAAGCTTACAGAAAGAGAGAGGAGTCTCAGTGCTCCAGGTCTGAGAGACAAGGAGACAAAGGCTGATGTGAGGCTGATGATGGTTGCTGTTTCCCTTATGTTTACCATCATTTCCCTTCATAGACTGGAAAATGCCAGAGAACCAAGGCCTCCAGCATGCAGCCAGTCAAAGATGGGAGGGGGGTGACAGAGAGTGAAAAGAGAACTAGAAATAAATGAGAGGGTGAGAGGGAAGTAAAGGCAATCACTGAGACAGAGAGAGAGGGTGAGCGAGACTGAGTGTTCAAGCTAAGCTGCCTCCAGACACCACACAGCTCAGAGCAGATAGAGAGTGACAGTTTGCTGATTAGTCAACTTGCAGCCCCCAAGACCCAAGTCTGCATACGTGTGCACACACACAGTTGGCTTGCAGTTTATTTAGATAGCCACTACTGTTATCACTGCACACATACAAGACACACAGACACATGTAAACTAATGAACACTAAGGATCTCATAATGGCTAATGGAAGCTTATGTTATGACAAAATCCACCTTGACAATATTAAGTATGCAGTACTGTCTGCAGGTTTTCAAAGTGTATGTGTGTATATAATGTGAAGAAGGTGTGTACCTTGATTATGAGATAAAATGTGTGGGGGTCAGCTTACCTTAAGGAGATAGACAGGGATGTTGCTGAAGTCCACAGGGAGTTTGAGAAGAAAACGAGCTGAAAACTCACCTGTCTGCAGAACAAGAAACAGAGCTCAACAACTTTACAAATTGTACAATATACAGGTAGTATAATATAAAAAAGACATACAGTATGAGTATTGTTTATTTTCAACACATGAGGCAGTATGATATCTGAGTTTTGATATGAAAAACAATAGCTAGCTAAGCTTTTTTTCATACACAAAATATGCCATATTGCTCAGAATCAGAATCTGCTTTATTGGCTATGTGTGTCGGACACACGAGGAATTTGACTCTGGTACATTGGCTCTCAATGTGCATGTACATATCTCCATGCAAAGGGCAAGTAAACACTAAACCAACATAAGGCTGTGTAGTGTAACAAAATAAGCAGTATTAACAAGCAACAAACAGTGCAAACAGTGCAAAATAAGCAGTATAAACAGGCAGTAAACAATGCAGACAGACAAAGGAATGCTCATTGTGAAATGAGATAAATGGGAATAAAAATAGAGTACTTAAAAATGGAGACCTAGCCAGAGCTGACTCAACATATGCCTGAATTAAATATACTGTATGTTCTAAAGTTAGAAAATATTTAAATAAGAAAATATCTACCCAAAGAAAAAACAAACCGGTATTTGGTGCAAACCTTTGACACAAATTTCAGACTACACTTTAATTAATGACATGCAAATATATGCTGTACAATGTTACAAGAAGTTATTCTAAAGGTACAAGCTGTAGTGCAAGCATAAAATTGTATTATCTACTGTTTACAAGTTATTTTGCCTTCAAGAATGTCTTCATGCAGGCATGGAGATACACAAATGGCAAAATAGTGGCACAATGACCTGAAAATCATACACCATGGGGCAACATACTGGTGAAAAAACCCAGAATCATGTGGGCTTTTTTCTGAGGTGTTTGGCACTCGTTCTTTTTGTACAAACCTCATTACATACTTTTTCATAAGGAAATGTCTGTTTTTCTTAGATTTTATAAGCAGTATTTGGAAAAGTAAATTCTTGTGCATATTATTCCATCTCATCTCAACCTTTAATAATCACAAGATTTTTTTGTTCTCAGTTCAAGTGTGAACAAGTTCTACAACATCAACAGTGTTTCCTGATGAAAGTTTTACTGGGTATATTTTGGAGTACCATCACGTGACACTGGATTTTGTAAAATGTAGAACATTCACAAACTCAAGGTTACTGAGTAGTTGCATACCCAGCTGTTTTTGTTTCCGGCATATATCTCCATGTTGCAGCCATAGTTGGGATCCTCCAGTAGGCTATCATACTCGAAGAGCAGCCTGGAGCTCTCACGCAGACGTTGGCACTGGTAATGGTGGTACTGCTGGATGAGTTCCTTCACCAGCTGGAGCAAACATTCTGGGTTTCCTGTATCCCACTGGACCAGGTGCTAAAACAGGCAGCAGAGAAGAGAGTTAAAGACCACTAAAACATTCATCTTCTTTTTTTGAATGTAAAATCAGCATACCAATATTACTGCTACAATAAGCAAATGAACCGAAAAGATTAGCAGCATTATTTGGCATCTACTCCATTTTCTGTTGGGGCAGATTTGGCATGAGGACAGATTTCAAAATGGTATTAAAACAGAGTGCTGTAATTTGAGCACAAACTGAGCTAAAGATTTCAAGATTTAACATGTCTTGTAATGGCACCATCCTCATGAGATACATAGAGGTTGAAAGTGTTTTTACGTTGCGCAGTACAAAACTACCATGATCTCATTTGTTTCTAGTATTATAGAAAGGTACACAACACTCAAACATGCAGTCTGACTTCACTAGTATACATGTAGTCAGATCACTGCTAGAGGTGATCAGTTTGAACAACTTATACAATATATATACCTTTACACTGGGAAATGTTGCAAAATAATAAAAAGCAGTACTATAGTGAACAGAAAACTGTTGTAAGAGTTGAGATAGTCGGGAAGAAAGTTTGGCCTAAATCCTGTCATTACCAGATCAGAAGGAAAGGGTTGTGCTAAAGGATATCCTGTTGGCACAGACTGATTTAGACTGATATAGAAAAGTACTGAGTCTGCCTTCTGTCTGCAGTTTCTCTGATCTCTGCTGCCACATTGGCTGATAGCTAGAGATTTTTTTGATAATGATGTAGTTTGTATCATAGGGATTCATATCACACTCACAATTTATTGTGCAAAAATATGGCAAAGCCTATTCCATATTTGCTTACATAATCAATATAACTATGTTGACACAACCAATTTCAGTAGGTTTAGTGCACCTTGCATGTCTAAATGGAGCACCAATCTTAGCTACACAAAGCTAACAGCTGATCAAGGCAGGAAAGCACTATGCAGATGTATAGGACCACAATACAATCTTATACAACCAATTGTCAGGTACGAGAGAGCAGAAGCGGCCCAATGTGACCCTTTACTGGGTTAATTCTAAACATATGTGTTTCCTCTCATAAGGGGAACCTGTCCATTGATGTGCAAGGAATGAAATGCTTATAATTAATGTGAAACAACATTGTGCAAAAATTAATTGCAGGAAACATCTAATAAAGACAAATGGATGTCTGAGCTCTCGAGAATGAATGCTGTGAGAGCTTTATAATGAAGTACAGCACGCAAAGATCAAAGAAAACAAAACAAAAATAGGGAATAAGCACGCAATTAATGAGTCTACTGCACTGTTTGGATGTTGAAATGTACTAAAGAGATTTACAGTATGTTGCCTTGAGGAAAGAGCACTTCGAAGAGTTAGCACTTGTCACTAGTTTTCACATAATCAGTGCCTCTTTAAATTGACGACATGATACACCATTTTGCTCATAAAGGTAAGAGTAAACACACAACAGGGGAAACGTTTTTATTTCATGGTGAGAGATTCAATATGATGAGCGTGGTGATGATGATGATAAAAAGGCCCCTGAGGTCTGAAAAGTTAGTGACTCCCTTCCCAAACTCATTCTGAAAGTGAAAAACTGCTGGCAGACTCAAACTTTGAGTAGAAAATCAAGCAGTCTTACAACCTGATGACGTAACTGCAATGCCAAAGTAAATGTGTAACTAAAGTTCATAATTGTTTCTCACTGCCATACTGTAGCACATCTGCCAGTTAAATGCTGGTCATCGTAAATGGTGAGAAATTCAGAATAGGCAGCCATTCTGGTGTGTACTGAGAGGTGGGAAGCCTAATAAGTGGTGGAAATACTGTAATGATGAATACTCATCACACTTAGGAGTCAAAGGCTAGATGTCTTTGACTTGCATTGACTTGTCTCTCCAATTGTCCCTCTGCCTATATCAGCCCAGTGGAGAAAGCTTCTATTGTTTTAGAGCAACCCCACCCATCATGGAAAATGGGAGGTGGTATGGCAAGGGCAGCTAAACAAAGAGAGTGACCTCATCATCCTGATCCACTAGTGGTTACCAACAATTCCGGGATTCCCGAAATGAGGGGCAATGAAAACAAGGATTGGCATTGTCCAAAAGAGGCAGTCATTGCTTCGGGGCAGGAGTGAGCTGAAACTGAGGAGAGACTGAGGAAGTGCTGTGTCAGGATTGTGACAAAGAATATCAGTGAAACTCTGTTGAGGACAGGGAGGGAGGAGGGATCAGAGGTGGGGGAAGAAGAGAGAGAGAAAAAAAAGAGCTCAGTAAGCCAAGGCCAATGAAACTCTGCAGGCCTGGTTTCACTGGTATACCTGACACTGAAAGATTTATTTTCCCTAAGAAGCAGAAAAACAAGAAAGATTATGGTATGTTAGAATCAGAATCTGCTTTATTGGCCAGGTGTGTCGGACACACGAGGAATTTGACTCTAGGATGGGGTCTTACTCCCTTGGTAATTCCAATTAAGATGTCCTCAAGCTTAGTAGTTAACCTCAACTGTTCCAGTTCACTATCTAGGGAAGAGCTGAGTTTGTAAAGGGCATCTCTTAGGTGAGGTGGGGTGTTGCTGGAAAAGAGCTAGGTTAACCTCTCTCAGTATAAAAAAGGCTATCGTGTATAGTTTAACTTGGCTAAAAGTCGACAGCCACACTAGTTGCTCTGTAAAGCATCACTAAAATAGAGCTGTAAGCTAAATACTAACGTCAGCGTGCTAACGTGCTCACAATGGCTAATAAGCTGATGTTCAGCAGATATAATGTTTTGCATGTTCACAATTCTTATGATGATGATCCCTCTAGACAAAATTCAGGGATCCCCAAAGTTATTAGTATCCATATCTGGGGACCCTAAATATTTTTATCATATTTTATGCCAAACCATCAAATAGTTGTTGAGACGCTTCACTAAGAACAAACAATATCCACCTTATGGTAGTGCTAGAGAAAATGTCAAAGGATCACCATGAATGAATGAAACTTCATGGCAATCTGTCCAGTAGCTGCTGAGATATTACGGAAGCCTGTGTTTGCCAAAACAAATCAATGTTTTTCCATGAATAGGATAAGCCTTGTGGAAAATGTACAGATTTGATACATAAAAAGACCCAAAAGTTGCAAATTCAGAGCTGTGACTTAACATTTTATGAAAAAGAAAAAAATAAAGTTAAATCTATCTACCTTCCCTCTGGATCATTAAGTTTGAAGAGAACACTTTTCTTAGGGCTTTATCTACAGGGGATAGATATAGCTCTCAAGAATGTACCCTGGTTCAATCTGGGCTTTATAATCCAGTTATTTCAACAACACAATGGCTAAACCTGTGTCATATGATTACAACTAAACTTGGCTTGTGATAAAACCTGTCACCTCTAATATATAAGCCACTAAAACCTTCCCTTTTGAAGATAGCACATATCTGTAAGGGAAGCAATTTATAATCAAATTGTATTACATTAACATATTAGGATTTGACTCAATATCAATATTAAAAACTGGAGATTAAAAATATATTGTATTAGTATTAGGATTTTGGTATTCATGTTTAAACAATATGAAAAACTGTCAAAATAGCAGTTGGTAGACATAAATATCATAGAACACTATAGCTTTTAAAAGAAAATATTTGTAGTTTCTGAATGTTGATAAATTTATTTAAATTGCACCTTTTCTACTTAGACAGTGTGGTTTTGAGCTTTAACAAAAATGAAGTACTGAAGAAACTGAGGGAAATGATTTCACAAAGAAATAATTAAGCATGTAGTTTAATATTTTCCAGTTTCCAAATAATGGAAAATAATGATACAATTAAATGTAATAAAACAAAACAAGCAGCTGTTTATCTACCTGAGACTCAATGCTGGGAAGACCTGCAGGGAGATCTATGAAAGTAAGTCTTCAGCCACAATGGGGTTTGTGAAGTTGTACTTACACTCAATAGTGTTTAAAGATAATTGGTAACAACACCTTGGTAATTGGCTCAGACCAATGATGCTAACAGGCTGATGTTTTGCAGGTACAATGTTTACCATGCTCCCAATTTTAGATTGATATATTAGCATTTAACATTTGCTATGTTATCCTAGTCTTTGCTGACTCAGCATCCATACCATGTTTTCCTGGTCTTTATTATTATTATTGTATGGATGCTGATTCAGCATCCATACTATGTTATCTAACAGCTTCAGCAACCACACTCTTGTTTTCTGTTTTTATTATTATAGTTTCTTCCGTACGTTTTTCGCCGCTCATCTCCTCCCACATGCTTTCAGCTAGACAACCCATTCCGGTATCAAAATGTTCAGCTTTTTAAGAACATACCATACCATACCAACTTTATTTATAAAGCACTGAAACAACCGAGACGGACCAAAGTGCTGTAGAGTGTGATTAACAACATACGTTAAAAATAAACAACTTACAAGGACAGATAAAATCAACACCAATATCAGACATCAGTCAATACAGATAAAATCAACACAAAAATAAGATATCAATCAATACAGATAAGATCGCACCAATAAATAGTATCAAAACGGCATTGAAAATAAATGAGTTTTCAAAATGGACTTAAAAAGCGGTAAAGAGGAGGCTTGTCTAATGGGCAGTGGTAAATCGTTCCATAATTTGGGAGCACCAGCCGCAAAGGCACAATCGCCTCTAAGCTTGCGCTTTGTTCTGGGCACACTCAAAAGAAACTGACTGGTAGATCTCAGGGAACGCGTAGGTAAAGCAGGTCAGATAAATAGGGAGGTGCAAGGCCATAGAGGGATTTAAAAGCAAACAATAAAATTTTGTAGTGGATCCTAAAATGGACAGGTAACCAGTGCAAGGAAGCCAAGACTGGAGAAATGTGTTCATATTTACTTGTGCCTGTTAAAAGACGTGCCACAGCGTTGTGGACCATCTGGGGGTGAGCCATAGAAGACTTGCTAATCCCCAGATACAGTGCATTGCAGTAATCCAGTCGGGTGGTGATAAAAGCATGAATCAGTGTCTCAAAGAGCCGTCTGGAGACCACTGATTTTACTTTGGCCAACTGCCTTAACTGAAAAAAAAAACTAGATTTTACAACAGCTGCAATTTGGCAATCGAATTTTAGACCGGGGTCCATCTTAACCCCCAGGTTTGAAATATTTTTCTTGTTATATTGAGTTAAAAAGCCCAAGTCAATGGAGGGAGACCCAACAGTATCACCGAACACCATCACCTCAGTCTTCTCTTCATTCAGCTTCAAAAAATTAAGAGCAAGCCAAGATTTAATATCCTCAAAACATTCAAGCAGTGGCCTAACACAAGAATTTGTCTTTGTGACTGGTAAATAGAGCTGGCTATCATCTGCATAGCAATAAAAGGAAATACTGTGTTTCCTAAGTATAGAGCCAAGTGGGAGAAGGTAGAGAGAAAAAAGAAGGGGTCCAAGGACCGAGCCTTGTGGAACCCCATACAAAAGGGGCTCAGAGGAAGACATAGCATCACCAAGCTTCACACAGAAGGTTCGATCCTTGAGGTAAGACCATTCTAGAGCTATGCCTCGAATACCCAACCAGTGCTCTAAACGAGAAATAAGTATGTTGTGATCTACTGTATCAAAAGCAGCGGTGAAATCAGGGAGCACTGGGATGACACAGTTCCCTGAGTTAGCAAGAAAAATATCATTTGAAACTTTCACCAAAGCAGATTCAGTACTGTGCAGGGTTTTAAACCCTGACTGAAAGAGCTCGAGAATATTATGCCTTTCCAAAAAAGCCAGTAACTGAGTGTAAATTATCCTCTCTAGAACCTTGGAAAGAAATGGCAGATTAGAAATAGGCCGAAAATTAGCAAGCACTGCAAGATCCAGACCAGGTGTCTTAATCAATGGCTGCACCACCGTGTGTTTAAAATTCCTTGGGACCAGCCCAGAGGATAAGCTACTATTAATAATAGAAAGGACAAAAGGCCCCACAACCAGAAAAACCTCCTTTAAAAGTCGAGGAGGAATAGCATCATTTGGAGAGCCAGAGGGATTCAAATGCCCAACAATCTCCTGGCAACTGGACAGAGACAACCACTCAAACTGATCAAAAATAGCAGGGCAGAAGAAATAGGAAAATCATAAACAGGAGTTAGAATTTGAGCTCTAGTAGAGAAACCTTGTCAGACAAAGGGCAGAGGAGGACAACACAGGCAACCTGAGGAACATTCAGAACAAAATCAAATCAAATCAAATCAAATTTTATTTGTATAGCGCCAAACCACAACAAAAGTAATCTCAGGACACTTTACAAAGTAAGGTCTAGACCTTACTGTTATTAATATTATTACATAGGGAAAACCCAACAAATCACCCTTGAGCAAGCACTTGGCGACAGTGGGGAGGACGACGCTTATGACAGTTTGGCTGAATGTTAGAGAAATAATTTATCTTAAGATTTTTCACAATTGTTTGATAACGATGCTAAGAGTCTCTTAGTATATGAAGTGATACCTATAATTTATCTTTTCTCCACCTGCGCTCAGCCCTGCGACACTCACGCCTGGCAGTGCAGGACACTTCATTTAACCAGGGCTCAAACTTAGCCCTAGGCTGCCTAACCGTCAGTGGTGCCACCGCATCAATAGCAGCCTGACAAGTAAAGTGAAAATCTAGTGCAAGCTCCTCTGTGTCCGCAGAGTCAGAAATGACAAGATTTTCACTAAAGAAAGCAGAGAACTGAATAGAAGTGGAAGAATTAAACGTATGGCAAAGCCGTGGAATAGCACAAGGTGCAATTGTATCACAAATAAAATCAATTTCAAATAACACAGGCAAATGATCTGCGAACACAGCATCACAAATTTCTAATTCACAAACTGGCACACCATAAGATAGGACAAGATCCAAGGTGTGCCCATGCTCGTGGGTGGGACCAAGACCAAGATTAAAATCAATAAGAAGTCAATAAGATCTAAAAAAAAGCCTTAACTAAAGGTTTGTCTGGACAGCAAACATGGATATTAAAATCCCCGATAATTAAAACCTGGCCATATCTGGGCATAAAATTGACCAAGAATTCAGAAAAGTCACATATAAAATCCTTATTGAACTTAGGTGGGCGATAAATCACAGCCCACAAAGAGGCCGGAAAATGACCCAGCTCAAATAAGGACAACTCAAAGCTGGAGCAGGCTGGTAATGATGAAATCTGCTTGCATTTAAAAGTCGTTTTATAAACAGTTGCTATTCCCCCTCCACGGCCCGATGGCCTCGGGGAGTTAAAAAAAGTACAGTCAAGCAGCTGTAGTTCAAGAAGAGCACTGGACTAACCCACACCTAGCCAAGTCTCAGTCACACAAAAAAAATCCAAGTTCCGGGAAGTAAAGAAATCTTTTAAAATAAAAGTCTTATTGGCATTAACTAGGCAGATCTTGATAGGAGCCAGCAGGCCAGCCAGCCTGAAGGCATGCTTCAGTGACCGTACATTCGAGCGGTTAATCCCACGTTGGCATAGACGTGGATAACAGCTACGAGGCCACCCAGTCCCCCAATCCGAGCCAACCACCGACACCAGCAATGAGCGGACAAGGTCCAGAGAACGCCGCGAAGCCCAGAGGCTGGCAGTCGAAGCACACTGAATCAAAGAAGTTGAGGAGAAACTCGCCAAGGAGGCCTTTAGCCTTACCAGCTGTCCACCTCTCCTGCACCGACGTCTCTGCCTCCTCCTCCTCCTGAATGGGAGAGCCGGAACACGGCGAAGGTAAGCAGGTATTCCTGATAAAAACGGAGGTAGGGACTTGTGCACGGGACAATCAAACTGCACAAAGTTTGAAACATCCAATCTCAGACTCGGTTTGACGGTCATACGACAAAAGAGAGTCGCCATTCCAGATAAAAAATGAACAATACAACACAAAAACAAACAGAATTAGGAGCTGTAGACGGCAGATCGTACACACTGGTGCCATCTTGACTGTGGTGAACCTGCTACTAGATTCCCATGATGCCATGTACTCAACTTGTTTATAACTTTCATACTTTTTCACCAAAATTTTCCCATTGGAAATAAATGGAAAAAAGTTTGGACCTTAATATCTCCGGCATACCTTGGGCTTGAAACGCCATTTCAACTCTATTCAACTCGTGAGAAGTTCAGCTACCAATGATGCAACAATCATCTTTATAACTTTCATACGTTTTAATAAATTCGTTTTTTTTTTCATAAAAACATTTTCCCATTCAAATGAATGGGAAAGTCTTGAAAGCCTCATCCTCTTTGAACATTAATATCTCCGGCATACCTTCAGCTAGAAACGCCATTTCAACTCTATTCAACTTGTGAGATGATCAGCTACCAATGGTGCAACAATCATTTTGATATCTTTTACATACCTAGGGTTTGTTTATAAATCGACAATTATATTTTGTGTATCTCTCTATAGGAATGAATGGTGCTATGTTAAGCCTATGGCGCGCTCTCAGTCACTGGATTCCCCACTCTAACACTCTCTCTGTGCTTTTCCTTTTCCTCCTTGCCACTTTTGTGCTCCTATTATGCCATTCTTAAGCTTTATACACATATAATAGATGTTATTCGTAGAGAAAATTGTCACGAATCCAACTGTGTCACTGATATAGCAATGGGATGGACAGTATTTGCGTAACATGGCACATTCCAGAGACAGTGCCTCTCACTGCTCCACAGACGGCCATTCAACGGAAGGATTCAGAAAGTATGTTTGAAGCAAAAGTTAAGGCTTTTGTAAATCGCTACCGCTTCTTCATTTTCTGGAATATCTTGACATAGAGGTGATCAGCATTTTTGTTGAACCCTCCTGTTGCTCAGAGTGAAAAAGTTTTTTCGAAAGGACTTTTTGTTCTGTTGTCAATTGTTGAGCAGGACTTTTTCAATACGGTGACAACATGGCTGCCCTTTCAAACACAGAGAACTTGCTCTGCTAGACGGCAGCTTAATCTCTTTTTTCCAAACACGCTGGACTTTCAGAGAACTTTCTCTGCTAGCTAGCACCTTAATGCCTTTTTTCCAAACACATTGGAATTTTCTGATCAAGCTTGATCGAAGAAGGATTATATCAACCATGGCGAGGTAAGCTTGTATCAATGTATTTTGAACGAGGCAGTGGCTCACTTGGCCCATAGCATTACAATAGGCTAACGGCTAGCTCAGCTGACACAAAGCTCATTATTAAACGTAAAGTTCATAATAATTAATGTGAACTCTTTAGTTCAGGTTACACTCCGTTTATACTCAGGTGAGCACTGAATAATTTTTTGAACGGTCTCAATTGCTTTTATAAGCAAGTCGTGGCTAATTAGCTGCATTAGCTTGCACAGTACAACACAAAGGAGATCGGTAGTGCCAACAGCTGGCTTAGTAGACACACTGAAATATGCTGCTAACGACTAGCGCAGTTGACAGGAAGCTCGTTATTAAATGTAAAGTTCA